GGCGGGGGCCCCTCCGGGGGCGGCCTGCCGGCCCCCCGGGTGCAGCCCCTTTCCTCCCGCGGCTGGAGGCAGCCGGAGAGCCCCGCCGCTCCGTGCGGTCCGTACACCGTCACCCGCCGTCACCGGGTGTCGGTGCAGGGCTTCGACTCGCGTCGGAGTCCGTGCGTTGGTTTGCATCAAAATATCGGGGTAATACCCCCCCCCCCCCCCCCCCGAACCGGGGGGTTCCAGGGGAGCTCGGTGAAGCCTGTTCGCTGTCAGCCGCCTGCCCCTGAGAAAGGTCCTCGCAGTCTCAAATTAAAGCGTGGAAGGGCATTTTCAGTACTGGAGACCCAGTGTTGTGACGAAGAGATGCTACACCGAGGCCAAATAAGAAGGGATGTTAATTAAATAGCCAAGTGGGCTAAATCTCAAATGTTACACTTCACTAAAAAAGGCCACGGACCTGTAAAACAAGGAGTAGCGTAAGAAGCCTTTACAGTCTCCAGATAACTTTTTATTACTCTTCACTTGGGTGCTCACCTGCCGTTTCCAAGTCTGCAGCTTTTTGTTTACTCCAGGAAATAAGAAACGAGTCTGACAGAATAGCAGTGGTTTACCTTTCCTAGATACCTGTCTTGGAAAACAATGTGTCAGCACAGAGAGCTGGGGAGATACGGGAAATTTTTTATAAAGGCTCTGACAGCTGCTTTAGAATAATAGCGTGTGTGTGCACTGCGTGGTAGCTCTGTGAAGACTGTCCAGCTCTCCTGTCTCTAAGGGAATGCAGATAACTCGCAAATCAAGAAAAATTTCCAGGGTTTTTAGTTCGTTAGCATATGAAGTCACCTTGTACTTGCACGATGTAATAGAACAGTTCTCTTATAAAGTTTTGTATTGATTTGAAAAGTTAAAAATGAGCACAGGCATTGTCCTCTGTTACTCCCCGGTGTGCAGGTCAAGACCAGGATTGGTTTATTACTTAACTGCAGTTCCCATAATCCAGTGATGATTCAAGCTGGGGCTTTTTTGACTTTGTCCCTTGATTATGCAGTACTTTTCCTACCCTTTGTAGTGCTTCCTCAGAACTGGCACTCAGGAGCAGATTAAATAAAAGCTTCTTTGCCTCTTTAACTGCAGCTGGCTGGTTTTCATACAGTCGAATGTATGTTGTCCTGTGAGAATGGCAAAGCTGGTATGTTAAGGAGTTCCTCGTGGTAATACCTTCTGTCACTAGAAACAGCTAAGATGGCCTCCAGTCACTGCACTTAAGGTTGTCAATTTACTTGAGATTCCTGGCAGTGATTCAGGCTTTAACAGGATGCATGTATTGATGACTTACTAATTTCCCTCTCTGCGTGTTATATTTCCCAGTCTCCCCGCTCCTCTTGTCTCGCTTCATTGGAAGCGACCTGAAAGAGCTTTGTGGGTAGAGAAAGTTTATGGGTTTTGAAGCAAGTAGGTTGGGTTTTTTTTGGGTTTTGGTGGGGTTTTTTTTTTGGTCTTGTGTCAGACCTGGTGAAGGGAATATCCCATAATTGTCAGGGAGAAAAAGATGTTGTGGATTTTGTGCAAAAGCTTTTTTGTCCCATGTGCCACACTTAAAGCAGATGCACAGGCAAGTGGATGTAAACAGACCTGAGCTCTTTTGCCTGCGCCCTGAGATGGCCAGACATGAGGCAGCTGTTGGTGTAGGTGTCCTGTGAGTAATGGTTCAACCCCACGCTAAACCCTAACAGGAGGCAGGCTCAGGTATAGCACTGTGCTAAGTAAGGGCTTTGGGTTGGAGCTGGTTTGAGGTCTGGCCGGTTCAGCGTGCAGGCAGAGGCTCTTGGGTCTGCTTTTACCTACTTGTACCTTTTAACTTCTGGGACTACAGATGGCAGACGAATCAATATTTTATAAAGAACACAGACGCCATGGTCTTGGTGGTACGAACAGAACACTTTTTCTATTTCCAAAGGAGGTTGTCTTGCAATAAGAGAAAGCAACCATGAATCAGCGTGTAGCTTCCCTCCTAAAGGAGGAAAGTTGGGAACATGCAATGTTTGTGGAAGTGACTGGAGCACCTGCTGTCCCGGGATGGTTTCTCTGCATCCCTGTCATTGTCTGGCAAAGCTAACAAGTGGAGCTCTATCAGAGAATTTCTTGATGCAATACTGAAGAAAATCAATGCAGAGTCCAATCCAAATGTGTGTCATCCAATGCTCAGGAAGTTTAAGGCTACCTCTGTTAACAAAGTAGTGTCTTGTGGCAGTTTTATCTGGATGCAGCTCTTGTCTCCTCTTGTCTCCTCTGCACAGCCTGCAGATACGCATCGGTGGGTCAGGGTTCGGTTGCGCAGGAATGGCCTCCTCTCTTCTTTAGGTGCTGAATTCCTCTCCAGATCAGTGGAAGCTGCATGCGTTTCATGCTGTTGGAAACCAAACCACCTGTAGATGTCTGTCTTCAGTCACCTTTTGATTTCATGGTTGGCTTGTGACTGTAGCAGTGAGTTGTTTCTAGGCTGGTTTTTTCAGTCATCATGAGGTTTTGTGAAGGCCAGAATTCATTTCTTCTAGAGGACCAGGATGTAGAAGAGGACTGAAAAGCTGGAGATGTATTTTCTTCGGAAGATGCCAGCCTTGCTGTGTTGCTGCTACATTTCTTAATGGAGCTTAGCACTCAGTGGATGATGTTCTTAGATGATACCTACACAAGATCTCCAGTTTTTCACTGTTGCTTCACCTTCAGGCCTTTCAGTTTGAAGGGGGGAGAATGGGTATGATGAATGCAGTTTTATTCTTCCAGTTTGAATGTGCAGCTCCTGGAAGAATGCCCTTAAGTAGTTCAGTTTGATTTCTTGACAGGATGAAGTTATGAAATATTTATGCGCACTAAATTTGGTCCTCTGCTAAGAAGGGAGGGTTTTTCTTGATGATACGGGGTGAAGAAGGAATGGGAGGATGTAGTCTGTCGTTACATCAAGATATAGCTGGAAGTAGTTAGCCATCGGTGCCTGCCTTATCCGTCTAGAAATGATAAATATGTCAACTTCTGTATTTTCAGATGAAATTTTAAGACTGTTTAGTTGTGTTCCAGGTTATGCTTTTGGATGCTGTTAAGTCATAAGTCAAGTTTTGTTTGCTTTAATCTGTTCATGTGTGTTAATATTTTGCTGGTGAATATTGTTGTACTAATTGAACAAATAGACTGGAAAAAAACCAAATCTGTCACTTTTGAGAGGAAGCAAATGTTTTTTCTATGAGTTTTTTTTCCAACATATGCAACGGCTTAAATATTTCTAGAGGATAACTCAAATACAAAATTGCTAAAAGAGCGCTAAACACCATACCAAAGAAAATGAATGGACTTTATCTCACGCTGTGGAATTCACTGAGTGGGCTGTTTCAGAGGAGAAGAAGCAAGACTCGAAGA